ACGTCGAATGATTGGTTTAAAATTGGCAAGTTTAATTCTATTGGCTGCTACACTTTATACAAACTTCTAGTAATGTCGAAAAAATGATCATATTCAACCATATCCAAGAAAAATTGCACAACCATTGAAAACGCCACGTTTGGTCAGCAACTCGCCAAAAATATGTGATAAGCAAAACTTATTGCTGAACCGAGTGCTGAACGAAATTATCTCTTTGAGATGACTCTGGCAGGTAGAAGAATCAATTAATCACTACATGAGTGCAACAGACGTCGTATCGACTGGTAGACCATAATATTATATCTCAACAAAAAATGTCATTTAATATCAGGCCATTTTATGGTTGGGGGCGTTGATCGATCGCGTTCGCTTCAAAATCTCGTGCAAGAAGTTTGTTGGTCAGATATATTCAACGCTGCGTTGCAGCCCATTCTCCGTTTAGGTGGTTGCTTGACAGGTCATCCATCATGCAGATCGTGTCGTGTCGGACAAAGCGTTTCCGGTTGATATTGAACCAATGACTACCTACTAATCAGCAACTATTCATTGACGTGAATCGACTCGAGACTCTCATACTCTTTGCCGCGTGCCGCGAAGAAAAAGTGGACTTTTGAATCAACTAACTCGGCTGAGGCCATGCATTTTCTTAAAGGAAGTATCGTCTACGAGCCTCTCTCAAAATGACTAAGCACGGTCAGGTGGTCCTTCAAGAAGAGAAGCGTGACGTTATTGATCCTTTATTTTCTTACGTGACGCTTAAGCAAACCTTAACCTGTTGAACGATACTGAGGAAAAAGTGAATAGCAACGTTCTTTTGATTTCTACTGCTGGAAGTCGTATCCTTTATCGAAGTTTGACGATGTCTGTTACTTACGTTATTATTTGTGTCATATTGGCTCGTGTACATACGCAGACCTCACACTATTGAAGGTGATCTTGGTTCGGGCTCTGAGTCTGGAAAGCTCAGTCTCCAAAAGTCATCCGGTGTCTGGTACGGCTCGAACCTCGCCCGATGACGCGAGCACTTATTCTTGTGCGCCGCAGCGTCTACCGCATCGAGTCCACCCAGCGCATCGTAGTACTTCTTGCATTCCATGCAGTCATGTCCGGGTAGAGCCTTCCTCTCCTCTCGGTTCCGCACCACTTCAACATAAGCGAAGCCACTCCGCTTGTCGGTCGTCTGTCCAGTCCGCACGTTCTCCTTGTTGGCACCTGAAGCTGTTAGCTCCAACGTTTGCTCCCACTTGGATTTCTTAAGCGTCCTCCGCTTCTCCTCTGCCCATGTAGCTGCCAGCCCATCTCGTCTCTTTAGTGTAGTCTTGAATACAGTTTTCTTCTCGTTATTCTCCTGAACCTCCTTCACTGGAATTGATGCTGGGATTTCATCAATAGTCTCTAGGTCCAATGATCTCGCTGTCTTCTTCTTCACCCACGTCGAAGATGTGGGCTCCTTCGTTTTGACAATACTCGTAGATTCCCCACTGGTTTTGATATTGTTACTTGTTCTGTCAACTGTTGTGGCAGTTTGCTGGGTCTTTAAAGTGGAGCTCTTCGCGGAGCTGAGCGCGTGCTGGTACCTGTCCAGCAGTTTCTGTTGCTCCTTGAGCGTCTGTTGCAGCAGCTTAAAGCGCTTGGCGAGGGTCGCAGCCTCCTGCTCTTGCCTACGAATCGTCGCCAACAGCACCTCCTTCTCGGCTTGCCACTCCATACTCAACGAAAGTCAAAACTGGACGCGCGCAAAAAAGGCCGTACTTACAAAAGGAATAATGCCACACCATTCATACATCAATTTGGTGTGGGATCTACCTGTATGTAGGATCGCGGAAGAAAATGGCTTGGATGGGGAATGTCAACAACACCAGGTGGCCGCTGTCTCCCTACCCTCGCTCTTCAAACTCTACCCACACAGGATATGTAGAACAGCATAGCGCAATACTCTAACATAAGCACCATGGTTTTTGGGACTGCAGTGGAGGACTCCGTTCTTTTATAGCGCGTCTAGCACCGAATTACAATTTCAGCCTCGCTGGTCGCACATACAGTCGTCCAGTCTACCCTCCACCTTTTCGACAAAACAATCACTCCCGCCCTGTTTTAGCGCGCTCGAATGCCGGATCTCGCGTACAACGCAACAACGTTTTCGGGGGCCTATCCAGCCAGTGTATCACTTCAGTATTCTCTTGACCGTCGGAAGGACGTCATGCGCTTCGACGGCCTGCGCACGCGCAGCGCCAGCGCGCGACCCTCGCCTAAGCCCGCGGCGTCCGACGTGCGTCCGAACCGCGGTCACAGCGTCATGCCACCGGCCACCATGCCTATTCCGCACACTATGACGCGTAATATGTCGCGGCCGGCACCGCCTCCGTCCGTGGCCTCGGCAAAGTCCCACTCGGAGCCTACGCTGCCTCCAGTGGACGAGCTCTTCCCTCGCCCGGATCTGGAGCCGCGTATGAAGAAGCACTTGGTGCGTGTGGCCAATGAGACGTCCAACGCTCTGATCAAGGACACATTAGCGCAGGACGAACCCGGCAGCGTGTTGTGGCGTCCGGCGCAACGGCCTCGAGGCGCGCCGGGCAATATCCACGTGCTTCGCGGTGCTGCTCGAGACGTCAGTGAAGCCAAAGACGCCACGTGTGTGCGCGCCATTAGTGACGACGTGCACGCGAGTATCGAGGAATTCGCGCTGTTGTTCAAACTGGACTCGAGTCGAGAAGCTGCGGACCATTTGTTGCTGTTCAACGCCGATTTAGTGCAACACGCTACTCTGTATACACTCGTATCTCCCTCTGGACAACAGCCACGCAGATATGTGGGCGTCAAGTGGGCACTAGTGGCGTCGCCCTCCAGGTTCTTTAGGAACAGAGACTTCTGCTACTTGGAGTGTCAAAAGGAGTTTACAGATGCGCGAGGAAGACGCGGATGGGTCCGTTCACTGCACTCATTAAAGCTTCCATGCTGTCCGTCGCTGGAGAAGGAGCACGGTATTGTACGTGCGAGTATCTACAGATCTGGACTTACAGCAGTGGAGACGGACGAACCGGGAGTGCTCAGCGTGACGTACACAGTGGAGCTGGACTTGAAAGGCAAAATGGCGCTGGAACTACTGCAGCCTACATTCCTAGCGCAGCGCGTAGCAGCTCTAGCGACTGTGGACAAGCTGCTGCAACAACAGCGGTTGAGTAGCAGTCCGCTACTTGGAGATTTGGATATCCCAGCGAAAAAGCGCACGCGAGGCAGCTGTAACTTGTGTTTCCGTGAGTTTGTGACTGCCGGAGGACTGAGAGATACACTGGCGTCGATCACCAATATGTCGACCAAGTCCAAGCGCTATGTATGCCGTAAATGTGGAGAGGGCGTGTGTCGACGATGCAGCGACGACTGGTGGCTTGACGTTCCAGTGGTAGGACGCACTAAGGTGCGTATCTGCACCGTGTGTTCCGCAGAAGCCAAGCAGTCGCACATTTCGGCACACACGACACGTGCCGGCACGTACCCCATTAGAGGGCACGGCAAGGAGCCCACAACGGAAGTGGAAGGTGTCACGCACCCGGGTTTATTGGACCCACCGCAGCGGGAACGGAGACGCTCGTTGTCTATGCTTGACCGACCCAGCGACGCTGCATCATTCTTCGCTCAGCAGGACGAGATCAAGCGTGACTTAGAGATTCGTGCCACAGAGCTCAGTCGGCGTGTTCAGCTATGGGACGAGATGCAGGTGTACGACCGCGACTCTAGTTTAATCCCAGACGAACAGGAGCTGGCCCAAAAACTGTTTTTACGCGAGGAACGTGAGCGCGAAAAACGCGAAAAACGCGAAAAGGAGCAGGCTATGAGTCGTGTCCCGTCTTCTAGAGTGGTGGAGCAGCAAGAGAAGGAAGAACCTGAGCCGGAATTAAAGCCTCAGCACCAAGCACGAAGCGTTCCCACGAGTGAGAGTGAGAAACCAGTGCATCAACCGATCGACCGGTACCCGTCCTTTATGTCGTCGGAGCTCAGTAGCAACCAGGAACCCAGCGACAACGAAGGAGAAGAGGTCGTCCGACTCACAGCAGAGGCCGGTGCACGATTGTCATCGGACTATCGCGACAGTGACTTGACGGACTATGAAGAGCACACGATCGATGACTTGGGCGAGATCCGCACTACCACGGATCTAACGCGTTGGTGGCAAGACCAGCAGCGTGCCAGTGAGGCTGAAGAACAGCCCGTTATCCGACCACAAGGACCGCTATCTCCAGTCGCGTCTCCGAGAAAGGATAAGCGACGTGTTAGTGACGATGATCGCAAGACGCAGCAGAAGCGTGCGTCGGTGGCTGCGTCGGCAGTTAAGAAACAGGAGATGGTTGATCTGTTTAACCATTGGAAACAGGAGTCTACGAACGAGATCCAACACCAAAGACAGTTTAATCCCGAGCAGCGACAGCAGATGCAGGAGTTCGAAGAACAGGCCCGATACCAGGAGGAACAGGCACGTCGTCGTCAGCAGTCAGACTTCGAGGAGATGGCCCATTATCAAGAGGAACAGGCTCGTCGTCGACAACAGTCTCTAGAGTCTCCGATCCGTCGATCCGAGTCAGTGAAGCAACGTCAACCAGCTGCGTCGGTGTTACAGCAGATTCAGCAGCGCCAAAAGGAGCTGGAGAATCTACGTCGCCACCGTCAACAACCGCGTGATGACGAGCCACCGAGCAGCCAGTTTTCAGTCGACTCCCAGACATCTATAGCGGCAAAAGAGCGATATCTACAGGAGCAAAGACAGCAGCAGCTGGATATCGCTGCCGAGCGCAAACAGGCTCGGCTCCGTGCTAATAAGGCACTTGATCAGACTGCCGGAGAAGATGTGGAGCTAATGGAAACGTCTCAAGGCGAGTGGGTCCCGGCACGCCCCAGTAAGGACGCGTCCGACATTGCGTCGGTCGTGAGTTCGCCCCGACATGGTCCGGGGTTCTGTGACCACTGCGGGTCACCCGAGTATATGGAGAACGGCACAGTCAAGCCTAGCTGCAAGTGCGGCACTGTTGCAACTCCTACCAAGGCCGCCGGCACTGTTCTATTCGACGGCAAATGGATCAGCAGCCCCACGCCCCAGGAATCGTAAGGCGTACTGTAGTTACAGTGTGTATGTCGTCGACCTAGCGACTGCATGTAGATAGTCTCCAGTCTTCGTATTTGACTGGTGTTGGTACCAAGTAATATATCTGTTGTCCAAGTGAGGAAACAAGCAATCTCTCGGTGTGCCAGCAAGGTGGTCGGAATGGTACTTCAACATGCTGACGTGCCTTCCCGTTCCGGCATGTCAATCCGACACGGAACTTTTTTCGGGGAGGCTGTCGCTACGATGTAGCGGTCGACAACCGACTCGGCCAGTGCGAGCCAGCCAATGCAATTGGCGACTCACACAACACCCCGAAGCGTACGCATTCTGGTTGTCATTGTCGACGACTCGACTCGAGTCTCAACCGGCATTATTGCGAGACGTCCGGATACACAACTCGTCAAGCCAGCAGCACCGGGCAGCCTATCATGTCCGCTCACGTTGCAAAGTTATCGTTGTCGTTGCACGCGCTCGCATCGCATTGCCCCAAACCAGCGTCTGGATCACTACGATGGACATCATCGACGTCTCGAAAGCAAAAACCTTCGGAGCGAACAGGAATGGGCCGTCTGCTGTGCCAAATCGCAAAAAATACTGTCGCTTGAGTTGGCCTCCAGAAAGCGCGCTTCAAATACCTTGGCCATCCTTCTGCCACGCGGCAGTGATGGCTGTCAGGCATTGCCTGACATGTAATGCATGCACCCAGCGTGAACAGGCCATTCTTCCTCGTTCTTCCTCGTGCACCTGTAGTGACATCGATTTTTACAGTTGTAAAAACCAGGTGCATCAACTTTGGCGTGTCAAGAAACGCGCTTCACAGGGTTTCGCTGTTTAGTGGCTAAAACTCGTCGCTAAATTCGCTCATAGGTCGAAAAGCGATCTGAAGCGGTGCGCAATGACCGGAAGGATGGGCACTTCCGACCCGGCTCTGCGGCACCTCAACATTTCATGGTGCACGTCCGCCTCCACAACGCGGAGCGAAGAACGCTCGAGACTGCACTCGCTTTCCTACCTGGCCGTCACCGCCGCGCCGACCTCGAGGCACAACGCAGTTCGGCTCGGTCCGACTGCCTGTCAAGTGTCTTCCGGTTGCCAGTCAACAAGCGCCTCCACTTGTGCAAACCTGTCGCCTTCCGTGTAACTGGCTCTTTGCATCTCGCGCAGGGATCGGCGTCCGCTTCGTGCCAATTTCCTCACTTGGCTTCGTGTTCCTAACCTGTTGAGGTTGCAATTGTCCGTTGTCGGTTGTGAACCGGCAAAGGTAGTTAACGAGTGCCGGAAGACCCACCGAGACCCTCAGGTGTAGGTGGTTGCCCTACCACCTGCCTCTAACCGTCTGGCGCCAAGTGGCCTACCCAGAATGGCAAGCTTCGGCGCACCCGACCTCGTTCGGGGCTCGGCGCACTCGACGTCGCGTTCGGGTCGATCAGGACGCTCCGGACGCTCTGGCCGGGGCTCAGCTCGGCATGACATGGATTCCTCCATGGCCAACTCGACCAACTGTGCTAACTTGAAACATGGCTACAACAGCTCCGCAGAAGGCTACATTCCCGGCAAATTGCCACTACCCGACGACTTTTTCCCGGTACCGCAACTCAGCGCCAAGGAGAACAAATATCTACTAGGACTCGCCAAACACGCTTGTAAAGAAGTCGTGTATTACTCAAGACAGGACGATGGACCTATGAAATGGTTACATTTGTCATCGGAAGACGGTGTGGACGTTTTCCAGGGTGTCGACAACTCTGGCACCAGTGATATGCAACAAGATGCAAAGGCACTTACCTACTTGCGAGGATCTTGCAAAATTCATGCAACGATCGATGAAATCTCCGATTTTTTCAAGCTCGATACCCCCGAAAAGTTATCAGGTTTTGCACAAACCGTAGGTAAGGACTTGCTGGATCAGAAGACCTTGCTGACACTAGCCACCCCCACTCCGGAAAACCCGAAACATTACGTCGCCGTCAAGTGGACAGCAGTGGAATCTCCGAGTAAACTCACTCGACACCGCGATTTTTGTTACATCGAGTGCCACGACGAGTTTATTGACACTAACACAAAGCGACGAGGCTGGGTGAGAAGTATCCACTCGATTCGCCTGCCATTCTGTCCACCCTTAAATAGGAGCCACGGTCTAGTGCGTGGCAGCTTCTATCGGTCCGGATATATCTTCACCGAGTCAGCTGAGAAAGGCTGTGTGGATGCAGTGCATACATTACACGTGGACATTAAGGGAAATGCCCCAAATTGGCTCAAAATTCTGGTTATGAAGCGCCGAATCAAGAATATTGCACAAGTGAACCACCACTTTCAATTGCAAAGATTAACACAAGAAAAATTACTAGGAGACTTGGAATTGCCTGCCAAAGAGGGAGTCACGCATTGCCAGCTCTGTGAAACGCGCTTTGGGCTTTTCCACCGTCGACGGCTCTGTCGGAAGTGTGGGAAAGTAGTCTGCAACGCTTGTGGCAATGAGTTCATGCTGGATTACGCTGGAGTAGGTCCTAAAAAGGTGCGGATCTGTTTGGAATGTTCCGAGTCGGTGGTGTATGGTACGAGTGTACCCATGATGGATGATTCGGGTCGGATTATCGAGGACGAACACACTGGAGCTAAGAAACTTGATGACAGTGTGATCCACCCTATGTATGATGAGTCGATGATTATTCTGGAGAACCGACATCATTCTATTGACGAGAACGAGTATTATTTGGAGAATGAGGATGCCAATGGACTCGCTGATATGGAGGAGGCTAAGCGTATGAATAGGGAGTTTGAGGAGATGTTGAAGAAAACCAGTGACGAGTTTAATGCGTCAAGAATTCAAGAAGAACGGAGATTCAACACAAACGCCAAATCTCTGCTTGGTATGAACAGCGCTTCAGGTGAAACTTTACCGGTTGATACTCCTTTGGGTGCAAGCGACTTGGCTCCGTGGGAAGAGCAGAACAAAGAGGACGATATGGAAGATGACGATGAACTAGGCTTACCCCCCAGTAAGAGCGAGCAGATGCGCAAACAACTGCAATATGAAGAGCAAATGCGTCGTGAAAACGTTGAACGAGCGAATAAAATGCAGCAGTACGCTATTGAACAGTGTGATCCACCTACAAGGCCTCGTGCGCATGGATTCGTACGCAGTGAGTCGGGAGATTCGCTTCGGTTAAGTTCCGAACACGGTGAAGAATACTATGGTACAGGTGCTATCGGACGTATCGGACCAGACGGGTTAACCAGCTTCCGTTCTAATAATTCTGGCCGCGGTGTGTCTAGATCTGAGCTATCAGATGACGGACGTTCTAGATCTAGATCAAGAAGTTCTCACGAGTTTCGACACATTCCTCGACGTCGCGAGGCTGGATTCCGTAGTCGACACGATAGCGAAGAACGAGACGCCTTTGAGAGTCAGAGACGCACTCAGCAGTACTTTGACGCTCGTAATGCTCTGTTGAGTGGTGGCCAACATCGTCATACAGTTGACTTTGAACCCACGATGGCGGCCAGATTCCGTTCGTCTGGTATTGGGGCAGGCTCTGACCCCCCTGTTCGTCGCCAACTCGCTGGATCGGAGTTGGAATCTCCTTACACTTCTCTAAGTGATTCGAATATCGCAGGAGCCTTTACAACTCGACGGAGACATCGAAGTGACGACTTGGAAGACCGAAACGATGAAGCTTTCCGGTTAGCCATGTCAGCCATGAGGTTATACGAAGAAGAACGCGGTCCTAGTCTACATGTTACAGAGGAAATAAGACAAGCGGCATTGGCTAAGATGATGGAAGTCTACGCTCGGGAGATTGAACGCAGTCACAGCCACGATGCACCATACAGTCGAGGAACCATCTCGGATACTCGTCGTCTTCACCACGACGTAGGTATCCCCCCTCCATTGCGACGAACTGTGAGTGACGACCGCCCGCCGTCGATCTACGGCTCTCCACTGCAAGTTTTCAGACACGACGAACTGTTCCCCACTCCAAGACGTCAACGACGACCAAATTCTAAGAAACACCGTCGAGAAGATACGTACGCTCCGAGTTTGCCTACCAAGGAGCGAAAGCAGAAGAGTGAAGATACTCACGAGTACAGAGATCTATCCGATCTCACTTCCAGCGCTTTCCAGGCCTTCCAGATGAATTCTCTTGGACCGAGAGATGCACCAAAACTACCGGTTGATGTGGTGGAAAGCTCGGAAGATTCAGACAGCAAACACGAAGACACTCAACCGCCTGCGCAATTCCAACGGGAATCCACAAGTACGACGCATGTACAGCTCAAGTCGGACACGTCTGGTGCTGCGTACGGCAGTATGGAGAGTAACGAGGTGTCCAACATGATCTCGCGTCCCAATTCCATGTATGGAGTGGCCTCGGACACATTCAGCGACATGGACTTCACTGACCTCCCACATTTAATGCGTAAGGACGACGTTGACGGTGCTCGAAGCTCGTTCACTGATCTCCAACATTGGACAGAGGAACCGTCAGAGAACGGAGGTGTCGAGTACGCCCCAGAGCCTCGTTTGAGTGACCTACTCTCTCCTCTTCACTTGGAGGACGTGCAACACGTAGACGACGATGATAGCGAGAGTCAGTCTTCCAACTCGTCGTCTCAAATCGACTGGCAGAGTTCCATGTCGAATCAATATCAAGGCACTCAAGGCAGAGCTCGAGGAACGGATTCCGAGTCTTCATTCGTGCGAACGTACTCAATTAGTCGCCAGAATGAGGCAGAAGCGTACTCAGACCTTACCAACACGAACAATGGACTGTCGGAGAGTATGGTCACGCAAAACGACCCACCGCAACGCCAGTACAGCAAGCCTCCTTCATTGTCTGAACTCTTGTCGGAATATTGTGATAGTGAACGCTCGTCGCTGCCGAGTTACCTGGAATTCGGAGGATCGCAGCCGGAACTGGAGCCTGAATATCTCGAAGCTATTGCAAATGCCACTACCGGTAACCAGAACACTATCCCAATGGAAGGAGGAAGACGAGGACATGTAAGGAGACGATCAAGTATCCCATCCGAGCTGGAAGCCATGACGTCGCGCGAGCTTTTCCTTTAAGGTGTAACCTTTTGAGTATATCCGCCAAGATCTGTGAGGATGTTCGTGTTAAATGAGCCAAACAGCCATGTGATGAGTTTTGCAATCGAAATAACACTAAAATAAACCGTTTTGACCTTATATGTATTTTTCGCGAGTTGTATTTCGGGAAATATCCATGTCGGGTAATGAGACTTCGCTGAATGAAGACTTGCAACGATGTCGTCGTCTGGTGGCTGCTATGCGTGGTCAGGTACTAGCGCCGTCACTGAAGCAGGAAGCGTTAAAGCAACTCGTTCGCGTCGTCTCCGAACAACAAGAACGACAGCAACTTAGGGGGTGGACGGATAGCTCGTTGCCGTCTCCACGGAAACAGTATTTGAGGTAGACTATTTAATCAAGTGTGTGTAGTAATAAAATCTCTGACCTATTGATTCCATTCAGGGAAATTCAAGTTGCTCGAATCAAAACGATTCAGAGGCGATGGCGCAGGTTGGTAAATACAGAACGTTGATAACGGGGATTCAGTCTGATAGTTTTGGTACAGACATTTGCTGCAGAAACGCATTCTCGCCAAAGTCAGGATGATACAGAAGTGGAAAAACAGACAAGGTGCAACGTCAAACCACCATTGCCTAACACGATCTCGTTTACTAACATGTTAACTATATTCGTGCAGGTGTATCGCGATTTCGAAAGAGCGCAGTGATAATTCAAAAAACATTTCGGGGTCACTTTGTCAGAAAGCACAAGTGAGTACATGATGACCTATTAGTTTAGGAATATGCACTAATTCTAACTCATTATCCTTTCCTTTGATAATGCAGGATCGACCTTGCCTTGTACATCGCGGGACTTTTGTCAAAGGCGGAGCGCCTTCGAAGTGATCGTGAAGCGTTTCATTTGAAATGTGATGATATTCAGCAAGAGCTTCAACAGGTTCGACTCGATATGGAAATCATTCGAGATAAAATATCCGAAAAAGAAAAAGAGATCGCAAACCTCACTAGCAAAGGTAGAACTGCTCGGGACAGTAGTGCTCTTCTCAAAGACGCCATCAAGTATGTTAAAAACTACCAAAACGAAGTGGTAGAGCTTGAAGAACTAGCCCGTGATCTCGAAAAAGAGCTACAGGAAATAAGAGAAAAAGAACCGGTGGTGCACGTCGCTGCCAGAGTGATTCAGGCGTTATTTCGAGGCGTCCACTGTCGAATGGAACAGATACGAGAGCAACAGCGTCAACGACAGACTTACACTCGGTAATTATGGCCATAATATCGTCGCAAAACGGAGTACCTCACTTGTGAATTGTTTTATATCGACAGGATGCTTCAATCTAAGGAGTTATGCTACGATCGGATGCACGCTGCGTGGTTAACTCGTAGCCAGAAAATGTGGGACGCAAGCGCACGGACTATCGCGGGTCTGTATCACATTCAACAAGCAAAGTTCCAGCTGTATCTGCTCCGTCGTAGGCGAGCAGGTAGACGAATTTCGCGTTTGTACTTGGATGTTAAAGCTCGAACGTCATGTACCGCAAAGCAAGATCTACTCTGGATGAAAGTGAAGCGACAGGCGAAAGAAATCGCGGCTCGAAAGCTTCAAACTCTACTACAACTCACTTGGCTCAGTTGGCTGCGTTATGTGCAAAACGAGGATCAGACGCGCAAAATGATCGCAGAGCGTGAGACAGCAGGATTAAACCAGTGGCGTTCTGCGAAGGCGAAATGGTTTTTATCGGCGTATCGATCGAGAATTGTCAAGCGCGAGAGCTTGGAATGTGAGATTATGCCTCGACTTAATTGTCGAGTTCTTCATCACATCCGTAATGCCATTCAGACTGAAGAAGGAGAAGAATCCTCGACAAAATCTGCTCAAGATATTTCCTCGGCATTTTTACTGCTTATTCGAAATGATATTTGGACGTGGCGAGTGCCGAACAAGCAGCTTTACACTCTTGCAAAACGATATAATCTCCCGTTGAGTTTACTTAACTTGGAGCAAATTAACCAGTGGCTGGCTGAAGAAGCTCCGGATTTTGTGGATTTATACGCGCCACTACCAACACAGACGCTTCTCGTTTTGAATCAATTATCAACGTATTTTTCACTTTACTCACGTATGAAAATAGAGGTTCAGCGAATACATGAAGTCTACGAAGCTCACATGATATCTCGCGAATACCTTGCGTTATTATACGCTGGCAATGTTGTGAGGTTATCTCCATCGACCACGTTTTCGTCTCATCAAAGACAGCGATCGATCGATATCTTACAAGAAAAAGATCGCGTTGAGTATCTACTAATCTCGACAGATAACAACGTCCAATCTGGAGTAAAAGCTTTGGTGCAACGTAATGCATACACTTCATTCCACTGTGTACGGAACCACCATTTGTGTGAGCGGTGTTTGGCTATGAGATCGGAAAGGAATCAAATCTCAGTTAAATGTTCCAGCTGTGGGCATAACCACTATGAAAAAAACACTATGGCTAGAGATTTACGTCTGGAATCGCGTGAGAGCTCTCAGAAGGAAGCAGAAATCAACCTATTCGATCCGACCAAATCGTTGTGGGTTGCAACAACGGAGAGGTGTGATTTTGTTGTTCTCAACACGTTTCTTCATGTTCTAGCACCGGTAACTCACGACAACCGGAGAAATAAGTCCTTAGACTTGTTATGGAAGATTGTGATGAGAGATGCTCATGAACCATTAGCAGAACTGTATAATCGATTGCCAACTGGGTCACTTAATGATCTCATGCATGCGTCGCAAGGAGAATTGGAGGCCTGGACTAAGCACTGCTGTCTTCCAGGTATGAATGCACAACTTCACTTATTCATCGCCACTTTGAAAAATGAATGGATGCAAGTAGATGCTCAACTTTCGCGTGAAGCTCAAATTTTAACGATGATCTTCTCGCAGCAGAAACTACAATTTTTCCAAAATAGTGGACGATCGACGAATTCGAAGTTAAATCGAAAGAAAAACAGGCGATTCATCCAACCAAGCGGGCGTTTGAAGCCACTTGCTGCCTCTCCTCGAACCAGTGCTCTGAAAAAATAAATATAATACAATTATTATAGCATTGTATTTATTTAATAATTTATTATTGGCTTTCATAAAAGTCCGTAAAAAATAAAATTGTCCCCGTAATTACTGTATTGATTTCTTACCAGTTGACTGGTGTGAAGGTGCCTCGACGTTGGTGGTTCTGGGGGTTAGACTCTTTATTTTGTGTTCGTCCAAATTTAGTTCTATGTTTTCTTTCAGAACCCAACAAAACTGCTGCTCAGGTTGGTCTTGCCCTCGCCGGCTATATTTGGTTGGCTAAAAGAACCCAGCTTGGATGATACCAGTAGTCACCAGCCTTCTCTGCAGCAGTGGGCTTCGAACCCAAGCCAGTGGCGTGATAGGGTCAATCTCACACCACTGCCATCCTGACCCTTGCAATACAGCAAAACAATACAGCAAAATAATTGAATAATTTATTATTGTGGATCGGTATATTGCAATGATTATTATGTGCTTCTGTGAAGCCCAGTACAATTTTTTATTTTATTGTAAGAGCACTGCCTCGAACTACTGAGGGATAAAGAAGCCCAGAAATTGGCTACTTCCTCACCTTTAGTAGCAGGGACTTGTTCCCCTTGATCTTCTTCTGGAGTTGCATGAGTCCAAAGAGAAGTGCTTCAGCCGTTGGTGGGCACCCAGGAACATAGATGTCGACTGGCACGATACGGTTGCAACCACGCACCACAGCGTACGAGTAGTGGTAGTAGCCACCACCATTGGCACAACTGCCCATGGAGACGACGTAGCGTGGCTCGGGCATCTGATCGTACACGCGACGCATGGCCGGTGCCATCTTGTTGGTCAGTGTTCCAGCCACGATCATGACGTCTGTTTGGCGAGGAGAACCTCGATACACCATTCCCATGCGCTCAATGTCGTATCTCGAACCAGCTGCATCAAGACACCGAAATTATTTTTATGAATAGGAAGTTAAGAGGTTTTGAGAAATTTTTCACGGTTTTCACATACCAAACTGCATCATTTCGACTGCACAACAAGCGAGACCAAAAGAAAGAGGCCAGATCGAGCTCTTACGTCCCCAGTTGACGAGGTCATCAAGGCGAGATACAACATACTCTGGAATTGTTTAAAAAAAAAAAAAAAAAGAGAGAGAGAGAGTTAACGATTTTTTTTTCCAAGAATTGTAGAGGATCACTTACCAGCGCTGTTACGAGCCGTGGCATTTCCAGCAAGAAAATCGGCAACGGTGGCTCGCTCTGTGACCTGGCTCGAGATTGATTCTTCCTTCTCGGTCGACGATGTTGTGTGGAGAAATCGAGGAGAAACGGTGGTTCTCGCTGCTTTCAGTAGCGTGTGCGAGCGTCGCCACAGGAGGTTTGATCGAACACAGAGCATTGTTGGCAGCACTCGGTGGTCAGCAGGAGAAAGTCACAATCCACCATCACT